ACTATGGTTCTGGAGAAGACTCCTGCGAGTCCCTTGGACTGCAAGGCAATCAAACCAGCCAGTCCTAGAGGAGATCAACCCTGACTGCTCTTTAGAAGGACAGATCCTGAAGATGAAACTTAAAATCTTAAGTCACCTAATGAAAAGGAAGGACTCCCTGGAGAAGAGCCTAATGCTGGGAAGGATAGAGGGCAAAAGAAGAACAGGATGACAGAGAATGAGGTGGCGGGATAGAGTCATCGAAGCAGTAGGCGTGAGCTTAAATGGACTTTGGAGGATAGTAGAGGACAGGAAGGCCTGGAGGAATGTTGTTCATGGGGTCACAATGGGTCGGACACAACTTCGCAACTAACAACAAAGCAGTTAACACACTGGGTTTGTTGACTGGAAGTTTGGCAGTTTGAGACCCAAATGCCACATGATGGGATGATCTCCCATTACTGGCTCACCTATTGAAAGCGTACACATGCAAGTAGATAAATAGGTACCAATTCAGAGGGAAGGTAAAAGCATTATGTATGCTTTGACCAGGGGTGGGTTTCAGTCGGTATGCACCGGTACGCCCATACCCATTCGTGAAATTTAGCGTGTCTTCACGTACCCGTTCTTCTGGAGGCCCCGTACCGGAACGCTCCCTCCCCTGGCCTGCTCCCTTGCTCACTCCTCATGCCCGCTCAGTCACCACTCGATCACTCGCTTGCACCAGGCTTGCCCTGCCCACCCACTTCCTTTGCTGGAGCGGAGGATTGGGAGAAGCCCACATGGCGCACGCTCCTTCTCTTTGACAGCCACCTGGTTTCCAATTGGGGTTGGGGAAGAAATCCATGCGTTTCCTCTCTCTTCATGGATCCCCCCCCCTCCGCAGCTCTAGGGCAGACGCCCCCGGCACAGCCCCTGCCCAACCAGAGAAAGGCAAAGCCCCTGGAGAGGCAAGATGGTCAGTTGTGCCAGATGCTCAGAACCGAGGCAGAGAAGAAGACCGAGAGAGGTGGAGCCACAGACTCCCCCCTTTCCCACTGCCACACAGCTCGTTGCCTTGGGTGGGACCAGGGCGCACGCGGGAAGAGTGGAGTTTGCGACCAACTTCAAAGTGAATAGGGCTGTTTGTGACTAAATGGGACAGAGAACACAGAGGGATGTAAGAGAACATGGAGGTAATCTAGTCCAACCTCTTCCCAAGGCAGGAGTCCTTATACTTCCTTCTCTTTGAGAGCTGTCAGTGGCAGACATGAGGGAAATTGTGCGTGTGTGTGTGTGTGTGTGT